AGCTGTTACTGTTGGTCTTCTCTTCTACAAATCAGTCAGCTTTTTTCCCAGGACATGGTGCCCCTGAGTTCGAAGTCTCTGAGCTGTCATCTGGATACCCCAACATCTATATTCTCACTTTAAAATTCTGCTTGAAATACGACAATACCAATTCATTTATTTCCTAACTGGCTTGATTAATTTTAAACTCAGTGGACAATCAGGATTTAGTCGGATACAGTCTTAAAGAGTACACACTCAGGAACCAGACAGCTTTGGTTTAAAACCTGGCTCTACCAGTTTCTGGCCAATGACCCAGGTTACATAAGCTCCTTAGCCTATTTCATGATCTCCAAAAATGGGGTAAAAATTGTAAAGCCTTCCTCACATGTTGTTATGACAATTGTAGCATGACCATCACAGTAAGTGTTCAATAAATGTTGGCTGTTACTATTTTCTCTCTTCTGTCCAGTTCCTAAATAAAGCTCAATGTAAAATCTAACATGGATCACTGACAAAAAAGAAAAAGACTATTAGAAATTTTCAAGATATGAAGGCAGTCTTCACATGTTCTCTAAACAAGGTAGGATTCTATCAGGTGCAGTGTTCCATTACTATAACAATGAGTTTGGTCAATACCAAACCCAAATATAAAATTTTTATATACTTTTTTATTCATTTTTCAACAAGTTTTTAAAGAGGCAGTAGAGAGTAAGAACATGTATTCTGATACCAGATAGACTCAGTTCAAATATTAATTGTATGACCTGGGCAAGTTACTGAACCTCTCTGTGCCTCAGTTTCTTCAAGTGTACAATGAAGACGGTAGTACCTACACCTCTAGAACAGTGTCCAGCACAGAAGTGCTAAGTAAGGATTAAGTAGCTAACTACAAAGTTCTGTGCTGCTAGCATTGTGCTAGATACTGGAGACTCTGAGATAGGTATTTGCCTTCAAAGAAGTCAAAACAGAAAATCTCAGTATGATTTGTTAAATATCTATATACAAAGGAGGCTTGAACCCCTGAATACACAGAGAAATGGATTCTTTTAGAATAAAAATATTTTTTGAAAAAAGCCCAAACATTGAAAATTAGCATTGATGGGTACACTGAGGTTCAATGTTATTTTCTACTTTTTCATATGTTGGAAATTTTACGTAATGAAAAGTTGTTTTTGAAAATAAGTCATTTTCTCTTTCCAACAAGATAAGCCAAAATTATGTAATTTGGGGTTTTTTTCACACCGATGTCTTTGCCAGCAGCAATGTTTAAGATGCAGAGGTGTTAAGAATTCTCTTGACAAGACTGCCACCTAGTGGATTACCTTAAATTTCACCATTTACATTTTACAATTTAAACACCTTAAATACCACATATAAGCTAATAAAAGGCAAGTTTCTTTTTTCCAAAAAAGACAAATCCAAGTATTTACAAAATTTCCCATATCACAGGAAATTCTGTCTGTTATGCTGAACGAAGTATTGTTTGTGGAAGAACCCTTAGCCTGAAGCAATCTCAGTCAAGTTTAGTTTGGATATTTATAGAGGTTATCAGAAAAAAACATGTTAAAATCGCTTCTCGGCCTTTTGGCTAAGATCAAGTGTAGAAAAAAACATGTTAAAAAAAAAGTGGGCAAAGAAACTTAGCATGGGTTTAGTAATTACTGCTGGATATATGAACACAGAGTTGTTAGTAACTAGATCAACATTAATTATACTAAAATAAAAGCAATACAATAAGTGGTTATATGTAGAATGAATTTTTTTAAAATAATCCTAATGCTATACAAATACGCACCTGTGGCTTAGGTAAAATTGCTAACGATAGCAATATACACTGGTCAAAAAAGTGCTTTATCTCAGATACTTAAGCAGAAGTTGAGATAATGAGCTCTGGAAACATGCCTTAAAATTATTCAGAAAGTAGCATGAAAAAGATTATTGAGTCTGAATGAGGTTGGCTTTTGAATATGAGTGTGTGCAAAAAGCCCCATTTCTAAGTTATTATTTTGTGTAATATATTTAGAATGCATGTGTAAATGTTTAAGCTAATGAAGAAAACATTTTAAGTAGGCATTCAACTATTTTACCCATATTCATCAAGGTTTCAGGTTGACCAAAGTTGGAGCTTCTCATTAGGAAAAGGAAGGATTGCCTCGTATACAAGCATAGCATAAGCCTCTATAACAGAGACATAATATACCACTAATCATAAAACTCCAAAATTTTTCAATCAAGAGTTAAATTACTCAACACCTAATACTTCTTTGCTTTTGTAACAACAGACGTATTAAATAGAAAACTGCCTTTTGTTATGCCAGAAAGGAAGTTCTGGGGGCATATCTTAAGGATGTAGGATGTGAAGGGACTCCCAGTGGCAAATTCTGGACAATTTGGACACCAAATAATTAAGTTCTGTAGTGAATTATAAAGTACTGTAGTGGGGAGGAAAGAAATTCAGAAGTCTATATCAATAATAAATAGGTAAGTGGAAAAGAAGGGAGATCTTTGGCTTACATCAGAATGCCAAGGGCTGACTGCCAAATCTAGAGAAAGTACAGGAGAGGGAAAAATGAAATTTTGCATTCCTCACAGTAAAGACTGGATCAGACAAGAATAAGAATCATGAATGAATGCTAACTCAAAAAGAAAATTTTAATGAGAAGCAGGATATTTTCATGTATCTCCCCCACAGACTGCTTACTGGTTGCAAGGGAGAAAAAAAAAAAAGGAATTACAGGGAGAAATCAGACATTTTGACAATCAAATTTTGGCAATCAAAATGAACATCACCAGTGAGGGACAGATGGTTATCAGGCACCTCCAAATGTGATGCACTGTGAAGGAAACATCACCTATGCAGCAATAAATAACCTGGATCTAATCACACACTAGCATTAGATAAACCCCAAATTAGCAATGCTACATTAAAAAGAGGGAAAATGGGTGGATTCTTCAAAAACATCCATGTCATAATAGACAGAGAAAGGCTGTAGCAATGTTTCCAGATTAAAGAAAGCCAAAAACCTATGGCAACTAAATGCAATATCGGGGACCCTAGTTTGAACCCTGAACTGGAGAAGGAAAGGATGCTACTGGGTTAACTGACAAAATTGGAGACAAATCACAGGTTAGACAAAAAGTATTGTATGCTTGCTAAATTTACAGAAGTTGCTACATATAATGTGCTTATATAAGAGATATCCCTATCCTTATTTTTAGGAAACACGTATTTCCTAAGAAAGTATATAGGAATAAAAGGCCATGATGTATGTAACTTAAATCATTCAGAAAAATGATTATGTGGGTGTGTCTATGCAGGTAGGTAAGTAGGTAGGTAGTGAAAGACTGAGAGCTAGAAAAGAGAGACTGAGAAAGTGGGTGCAAAGCCAGTGGGGTAAAATGTTCCCAACAGGTTATTTGGAGTAGAGTACACAGGTGTTCTCTGTAAAAAAATATTCTGTATTTTTTTTTTTTTTACCTCGTCTCTAAGTGTGAAAATTGCCTACTTCCAAATAAAAACATTCAAACATCGCTATACCTACTGCTAACAACAACAACAAAAATTCTCATCATCATTCTTTCAGGACTAAAATATTCAAAATCAACAATACCTTTAATCTTAAGCTATTTTTCATGAATTTTATGACTCAATTATTTTTTATACCACTAAGAAAGGAAAAAAGATAACGACTATAATTATAAGACAGAATTATATAGCAGCATTTTTTCCTGTTATCTGGATACGAGTAGTAAAACCCAAGGGTGGGAACAAAGCAAATTCCTGACATTCTAAAGAACATTCTAGAGAGATATTTGGAGGCCAGTCACCCTCTCCTAGACATAAAAGGGACAGAGGTGGCCATAATGCCATCAGCCAGCACCTCAACTGGCCCCCACCTGCATCCTAGTCTATAGAATTGGGGTCATAGTCTTACAGCAGTCTTGATGAAGAGGCTTTTCTTTCTCTTGTGACCATCACCTTTGCTCCCACTTCTTAAAGCTAAGTGAAAAGGCATTTGTTTTTATTTCTGGCTTTTTGCCACTATAAAAAGGACTGTAATAAACATCCTTAAAATTATGTCCTTACACAGTAGTACTTTTATTTTCAATAGGACAGAGTCCTAGAATGGGATTGATGCATCCAATTATAGGTGGGTTTTTTTGTTTTAATTTTATAGATGTTGCCAGATTGTTTTTTCAAAAAGGATGCACACACACTTTACCATTTTCCCATATCCCCACCAGTTCTATGTGTTATTTCTGTCAATCTGTTATCTTACTGCTACCTTAAATACATTTCCCTGTATTTGAATAGGGACATCTTTACATATATATGTTTGTTGGCCATGTGAACAGCTTTCCTGTAATTTATTGATTCATACTCTTGTTTTCCCTTTTTTTTCTGCGAACTGTTAAGAAATTCATGTATATTACAGATATTAACCTTTCATCTGTCCTTTACAGTACAAATACTTTTCCCAGAAATATCATGTTATTCTTTGTTTATAGTATCTTTTGTCCTACAAGATTTTGTTTTTATATGATCAAATATTAGCATAAATACATAAATGCATACACATGTGTGTATATATATGTGTGTGTGTGCTTATATACATAAAAGATACGTATCTATCTTTTTTTAAGCCCCTGAGATCCCAGTAACTAAATGTACTTTTTAATTATCAAAGATGATTGAGAATTTAAGGTATTTGTCCTACACATAAATAAGGTCGGCAGGAAAAAGGGATGTAACTAAACAGGGTTGAAGCAGTTATTACTGGGGGGGGAAATTCATGTTTATTTCATCCATCAATTTAGACTTTCAATGAACCAGTTACATCTAACTTATTTAAGTGGATAGAGCATTGTGACTCTCATTCTCATTTTTAAATGGAGAACCTGAAGTATGGTGAAAAGCCACAGTGAGTAATACAGCTGAGATTCAGTAGTATGTCTCTTGAAACACAACAGCAATGTCAATACAAGTTTTTGGTAGCATTTAGTAACAAGCTGCTTACCTTTCAATAGCTAATTCTTTGTTAGAAAGTTGCTGGACTGTAATCACAATCTTCTTCTCTATTCCTTGTTTTAATTTGAAATAAAATTTGTCTCTATCCTTAGGCACAGGACTGAAATATGCAAAAAGAACAGAAATTATCAGTACAATAACACAATAAAATAATCTACTCCAAGGTTAGAATCTATTCTGAGGTTCAAATGAGACAACACCCTTATTCTTAAGGTGCTCTAAACTCTCATCTTGTCAGAGCAGCTAACTACAAATTTTATAGCCAGAAAAACAAAGTCACTAATTAATTTTTAAATTGGATTTATAAGGGCCTTATACTTTATCTCTAACAAAGGTTAAAACCAAGATTCTTTAAATGACATCATTTCAATTTTAGATTTTAAATTTAACAAATTTAGGAATGTAGATTTAATTATTTTTTAAGACTCACTATTCTGGCTTAGCTGGTTGTGTGGTTTTAAGAGCCTTTAACACACTAAAGCCCAAGGCAGAACAAAGTGAGAAGAGTTTGCTTTTAAACATCTGCAATTTGAGATAACTGTAACATACTCAAGTAAATATAAATAAAGATGGACAAAGAGATATGGATCAGGGACAACTTCAATTTTAGCCTAGGCCAGACTGACTATTCTTAAGAATTAAGACAATAAATGTCTAAAATATAGGTTGTTTTATCTGAAAAGAAAAAAATACCTTGAACAACTTATCTAAGACTCAATGTCTCTATCTATTTAAAAACAGACAAAATACCTACCTAATGATTATTGTTAGAATGAAAGGCACATAGATGATCACTAAAGAGCATAATGGTGCCCTATAATCTACTTGTATAATCTTCTAAATATACAAGAGAAGAAAATGGTTAAAGGTCAAACCACCCAACACACTACTGATACCATTGAAAATGATTTTGATTAAGAACATTTTAATGGAAAAATTCTTACATAATAAAGTTTAAAGAAAAAAATTATGTATACAAGTATATAAAAATATGCCTTAGAAATAAACAAAGGAATAAATCAAATATTAAAAGTGGTTGTGACTGACAAAACTATACCTTTTTATTCTGCTTTTATTATTTTACTACATTTTTCTATAATAATCATTATTCTTAAATACTGAGAAAATCATCTATATAAAATATCTGAAAGCATGAGAATAATGAAACATATTCATTCACCTGCCAAATATTTCTTTATCATGTTAAAGCTTTATACCAACATTGTATAGCTTCTGGAAGCTTTATATTAGCCAATACTATATTTTAGGCACAATACCAATTTTTATTCTTCCCAAACAACCTCACCTAAAGTTTCCTTTTCCATCATCTTCTTTTACCTCCAAGGAGACACTGAAGGTAAACACGTCACTGTCAGGAGTAGGAATAACCAAGTCTTTAACATCAGACACTTGTCTGGAAGAACGTTTGAATGCTGTGCAGAAACTATATAAAATTCTGCTTACCTAAAAGAATAAAAATGGAAATATCATTAGGCAAAGGTTTTAACTGCATTTTGATACCCCCCTCTCCTAATTCTTGAATCTGTAACTTTCCATGGTCACAATTTACTTTAGCAGACATAATCTAAGCATACATTTATATAAGCTTATATCTATGTATTTATATATTTGTTTATATATATTATACATAATATACAACATTTTATATAGTTTGCTTCTTTCAACTCTAATATTTAAACATGGTAATAAAGAGGTTTAATTGAAGTTCACTAAAGGAGGTGTATTTATTTATAGATGTTTCTAGGTCTCAGAATATACCATATTGCAATAAATGAATCCTAATTGTCAGAATGGTGCTGGCTTCTAACTCTTCCCAATGAACACACAAAACAAGGTGTTAGCCTAGGTTCTCAGTTTCTCTTTTCACTTCCCTCAGCTTCAGAGAGCTAGATAGTGAGGCACAGAATAAAGTAAATACTGGTTGTAGCAATAAGCTGACATGGTAATGTGATTTAAAGAGATTCAACTGCTGTTACTCAATGTTGCTGTGGTGTAAATGCACTGCAGGATTCCCAGCTGAAATGATCTATTTATTAGTGCTAAGCCAACCTGGTGACTACTAGAATAATACATATGTCGATGGCTTATACTCTTTCCCTAAAGCAGAAAAGGACTCAAGATCCCCCACTCTTTTAGAAGTTATTCTCTTCCTTGGCTCCAAAAGAAGCTTCACACCATCTCAAAATTGTAAGCCTGAAGCACAAAACTTCCAAATTTCTCAGGCCACCCATGGGTTGAACAATGAAACCAAGGTGAAGTAAGAGTTTAACAAAGGTCATACATATTCTCACACTGGGAGATACAAGAGACTTCTCTAAATATGAACAAATCCTTCCCTTTAGATAAAGTGAATTCAAATTATTCGCTGAATTATGTGAGTTTCAGACTATAATATTTTGTCATTTGCTTGAAATGTCCACTTACAACAACAGAATTTCTTAAAGCATGGGGTCTTTCATTTTTCTGTTTTTGTGATGTTCATATATTCTGCCTTTTCTCATATACAGTCTATCACATTCAAAAATAAGTGGTCCTCAAGCTTCCCAAAGCCACACTTATATCTATTAGTCAATCAATGATTACCCTAAACTGCCTTTCCATTGCCAAATTAAGTTTAACTGACTTACACACTTTTAACTGTGTAAGAACGCTGCCTGCCAGCCTTAAGTTCACATCTAGCAGAAGCGTATTTGTACCACAGTGCTTATAAAATTTTTTAAAATATTTTAACGTGGGGCGCCTGGGTGGCTCAGTCGTTAAGCATCTGCCTTCGGCTCAGGTCATGATCCCGGGGTCCTGAGATCGAGCCCCGCATTGGGCTCCCTGCTCCGCGGGAAGCCTGCTTCTCCCTCTCCCACTCCCCCTCCTTGTGTTCCCTTTCTCGCTGTGTCTCTCTCTGTCAAATAAATAAAATCTTTAAAAAAAATATTTTAATGTGTTACCCAATTATAATTTTATGTAAATGAGTAAAAACAACAAAAGCAACAAAGGACTGATATAATCCTCAGGCCTCAAATCTTACACAATTAAGATGATGAATTCACACATTCATTTAATAAATATTTTTTGAGTGCCCTCTGTATACTTAGTATTATTCTAGGTGCTAGGGATGTAAGCAGTGAACATGGTGCTTACATTCCAGCACATGTAAGTTTAATATGCTTCGGGTAAGTAAGAAGGAATCATTAGGTAAGCCAAAAGCAGAAATATTTAGCCTCAAATGGATACTTATTTGATTTAGCTCAATAACTTGTGTTAGAGAAGAAAACAGAAGCAAAGAACACACTAGAAATAAGTCACTGAAGAGTATGACTCAAGGTAAAGTGTAAATAGGAAACTTAAACTTTTACTTTTAGTTGAGCACTCCCCACCTCCTAACATCAAATAAAATGTGAAGTCTATTGTTTACTTTTTACACATTGAACTTGAGCATATTTTTAAGAAAACATTATATGTGAATATAGAGGAATACCTGTAGATAAGTATTGATACATTAGTAGAGTCAAACCCCAGCCATATTTATTCTTTCTTCTCCTCTCCCATATGTTCTTCTAACTATTTCATTTTAAGTGAGAGCTAGCAGCAAGCCAGCCACATCAGGCCACACCAAAAAAGTCAAGGAGTTTGACAAATTCTAAAGTAGACAGCAAGGCTCAGCAATTTCTCTTTAAAAAGGTTTTTAAGTATATGGGGCTGAGCCCAAGTAGTTAAGAATGATGAGGGCGGGGGGAGGAATCAGAATACACTTTTCTCTTTTTGGAGGCAGGACGCAACAGTACATTAACAGCAATCAAACTGCATTTAATCCTCACCGTGTCTTACAGCTGCTACTCCCAACAACAAGGATAAAATCATTTGTGAATTTCTAGAGTCTGTGAATAGCTGGAATGGTGACCCAAGGATTGGTAAGGTAGGGTATCTTCAAGAACAATGATTATCAATGTCTACAGTTATTGAAACAAATTGGGTAACCAATTACACCATGAAAAGAATAGTAAAAACTTACACTATGGTAAACATTTCTATACATGTCACGCACACACGCGTGCACTCACACACACAAATAATCTAGAATAGGCATATTCTTTGAAGAAGCTTTATTGACAAATAATACAGTACAATTTTCCCCAGAAGGCTATACCTATAGAAACTACTAATTAAACACAAAAGTATCTGTTGGGGTTGTTTATTATGAGAGACAGAAGGAGAGCACATGTATATATGTGGAAAGGAGAAACCAAAACCTTAATTCATGAAATTTTAAGTAACTTCTATTTTCTTATTTCAGTATTTTCCAAATTCTCAAATATGTATTACATGTAAATACTCCAGAAAAATGCTATTAAACAAAAAGGACTTACTTAAAATAAATGACAAAGCTAACTTTTCCAAGATAAAGCCTTTTCGTTAATATTGGTGAAAGATAACTGACTCTTTTAAAACACCAGGTATCAAGAAAATGTTCACCCAAGAAATAGATGTAGAAAAATCATTCTATAAAGCTCATCCTGAAAGATAATGTGTTAAATTTTTAGAAACAAATTATTCAAATATATTACTCACTGAAAGGAACTAAAATAAGAAGCATATCATACAAGAAATTTTTTTTAAGGTGTATTTATTTGAGAGAGAGAGAAAGAGACATGCGAGTGACGGGGGGGCAGAGGGAGAGAAACTCAAGCAGACTCCCTGCTGAGCGCAGAGCCCCACAGAAGGTTCCATCTCAGGACCCTGAGATCATGACCCGAGCCAAATTCAAGAGTCAGACACTTAACCAACTGAGCCACCCAGGCACCCCTCATATAAGAAACTTTTAAAAAATTATAAAAATAAATTTATTTATGGAAAACACTAGCAACATAACTTCAGAATCAATTTCCAAAATAAGGCGTTTTGCTAAAATGCCATCTCAATAAATATGTTTAGAAATAATATTTTCCCATACAAGGAATAAGGTTTCTCTTACACAGTGACATTTCAGCAACCCCCTTCCCTCCCCCAAAAAACAGTGCATTAAGAATGAAGATCTTCCAAATGATACCCTTGATATTTACCATGAAATACCTCTGAACTCCTTTAACACCAGATAATAACCATGCTCCTAAAATGTAACACTGAGAATTGCTAGTAATGGATAAGTATGTTAAAATATGCAAACAACAAACATCAAACCTGTTTTGAGGAAACTAGTTACACTGACTTAATAAATTCTGAAAGGGAGTCAATTAAGCCTTTTAAAAATATCTTTACAAACAGTTTTGTACAATGTATCTATAAAGATGCAACAAGGTTATATGTCTCCCTGGCTTTTTTCACTATGCTTTTGGATATTTTGTTTTGGCTGCAATTCTTCAGCAGAAACAGTACATCACTTTCCCTGAACAAAATCATCAGTATCAAGAAACCTTGGGTTGGATTCCCCGACTCTTGCCATAGGTAATCAAGATCCACTCCAGCAGAGCCCTACAGATGAACCTCCAGGGTCTATCAAGTCAAATGTATCCTAACCCTTCTGTGGGAACACCTAATCCTTATGCCAGGTCCCACAGAGCTATGACCTTCACTGGCGTCCCCCTAACACTACCAGTGCCTGCTTCTTGTGGGATTTTAGGGTGAAATAAGAGCATGACAGTGACAGTGGGTCGTGGCAGCCATGCTGCTACTCCTGCTTGAGAAGTTATGATGTCTTCTTGCTTTTAACAGACAAACTTCTTCAGATCTCATCCAGGGACTCTGCAAACAATAGAAAACAAGTAAGTAACATCGCTGCACAGTACATATTTAGACAATAAGAATGTCTGTTACCTGTTCCTGAACTATTTTTGCCAATTGTTTGTGCCCATTAAGAGGGACCCAAAAACTAAGGACTAAAGCTGTGCCTTCACCACAGAACAAGAAACCTAGGAACCAGATAATGAGACAACCAGTAAATGCAACTAAAGACTTCAGATTAATTAAAATGGGTCATTATTTTTTGAGGGGAAAGAGGAAGATGGACATCCTCTGTATAAGGCATGGGTAAAACCCAAAGGTGGGTAGAATGTAAACTATATGAACGATAAATGGCTTTATAAAACATAATGAAAAAAATCCATATTTGCTATTTATAATATTTAAGCAACAGGAAAGTTGTTACTGAAAATTATATGGGTATTCAGAGTCAGAGACTTCCATTTGAAACCTAGCTCTATTGTATATTCTCTTAGCCTTGGGATAAACAAAGGGTAACCATACAATTTATCAACCAAACCAGAAACCTTTTGAGAATAAGATGGAGTGCTACAAATAATATACCTGGACAACAGATATAAACTAGAACTGCTCCAGGCATACGAGATCACTAATCAAAGTAAATTCTATATCATGGAGATTTTATGAATGTCAAGAAAATGCTTAGCACAGTGCCTGGCATAAGCTCTACATTTATACTGGTTATTTTTTTCATTTAGAAATATCTCTCATAATAAAGTTTAATGACAAATGTCATGTATTTCTCCTTCAAATAATGAATTTTGCCACCAATGCCCCATAATGGAACACTTCCAAAAATGTACTCTAAAAAAAATTAAATACATGGACATCACTTTCTCAGAACCTTCAATACACCAAATATCCACTCTAGAAATACAATTAATACTATTTAAGACCATATCCAAAATGGTCAGGCTGAGAATTCCCCCACAGCTTTGTCCACTGCTTACCCACTATTAAAGCTCTCAAAAATGACACACAGTTCCCTCACCCATAAATAAGAGGATGCTATAATCCAAAAAGAGTTTCATACCGTCATAATTATGAAAAATGCTTGCAAGCCAGGTCCCCTTTCCATTTCCTTCTGCAGCAGTGTTTCTACCACTCCAAGCAGGAGGTTCTCCAAGTCTTCAAAGTTCATGTCCTTCAAAGTTCCTTCCTTCCTTCAAAGTTCATTGTTTTAAGCGCCAATTACCCAGAAACCACACAGGTGTGTTAAATGCTGACAACAGGAAATGCCAGGACTCTACCCTCTGCTTCCTCACTTCTGTAGTGGAGTTGTAAGGATCAGAAATAGACCCCTTCATTCACAAACACAAAGATACTCTTTCAAGATATTTATATTCACTACCTCCTAAGTGCCAGGCACACTTGTACTCATTCACTCTCCTATCACACCTTTGACCACACAGTATATACATAAATATAGAAATGTTGGCATGAAACAGATTCAGATGTACTTTTTAAAAACAAAAAAAAAAACTAACTTGAACTTCTTATACAGACGTGGGTTCTGGCTCATATGGCTACAATCTAAAGTATGTGTGCCTATGCGTGTTCATTTTAGTATAAATAAAATTAGTCACCAGGGCATAAGAATTGACCTATCACTCGCGCTTAGTATCAAACACACAGAAATATACATTTCTCTGAGTTCCCATGTTGTGGCCAGAAATAAACTCTTAGAAGTCCTGTTAATACAATGGTTTGTTTCATGGTAAACAGAAAATAGAATACCTGTTTTTAGCATTTCCTACTGACAATTTATATTTCCAAAAGCAAACACACCTTAGCTTTGCCCATCCAAGCAAATTTATTAATGCCTTTAAAATGGTTGTAAGCGCTAAAGTTCTAAAAGTACAACCTAGGGGCACCTGGGTGGCTCAGTTGTTAAGCGTCTGCCTTTGGCTCAGGTCATGATCCCAGGGTCCTAGGATTGAGCCCCGCATCAGGCTCCCTGCTTGGCGGGAAGCCTGCTTCTCCCTTTCCCACTCCCCCTGCTTGTGTTCCCTCTCTCGCTGTCTCTCTCTCTCTCTGTCAAATAAATAAATAAATAAAATCTTTTAAAAAAATAAATAAAAGTACAACCTAATTACACTTGAAACTAATATAATGATGCATGTTAACTATACTGGAATTTTTTAAGTTTTTGTATTTATTTAAGTAATCTCTAAACCAAACGTGGGGCTCAAACTCACAACCCTGAGGTCAAGAGCTGTACAATCTACAGACTGAGCCAGCCAGGCACCCCAACTATACTGGAATTTATTTTTTAAAGTGCAATCTGTTTTTAATTTGGGGAGAATCCAACAAACACAGAAAAGGCAATTTCTCCATGTATTTAACAACCACTTCTCCAGTCTCAGAATAAACCAGTTAGTAATTACTAAGAGGAACATAACTAGCATCTTCAAAAAACTACAAGTTGATATCCATGCTATAGGTGAGATTTGTATTTTTTTAAAAGATTTTATTTATTTATTTGACAGAGAGAGAGAAAAAGCATGCACGCACAAGCAGGGAGAGCAGGAGAGAAGCAGGATCCCCACTGAGCAGGGAGCCTGACCTGGGGCTCGATCTCAGGACCCTGGGATCACGACCTGAGCTGAAGGTCGATGCTTAACTGACTGAGCCACCCAGGGACCCCAAGATTTGTATTTTTAATTAGGCCAGTTCCATAGAGCAAAAGTCATCCTCTGAGGGAATGAACAAATAATCAGTGAAAACCACAGATTTCAATGAAGCAATCTTAGTCCAATATCTACATGAAAGCAATATGCAACCATCAGTCCAGCAGAAAACATGCTTTGTTATAGATGCTTTTAAAAAAAGTCACATGGACAAATCAACTTGGGAAAAATAACAAAAGAGGCCCTTCTAAGCCTGAGCAATTACTACCACGGTAGGGTAGGAGGAGAGCTCATCAAGTAGGATTTTTCTGCTACATCTGTTTAGTTGAGAGTGCCCTACCTATGATACCACTTCAATGCAGTTATCAGATTAAGTTTTCCATATTTAGTTCCATACCATTAAATATTAACTCTCTCTTTAGAAATCTCCAAATCTATGTAATAGAGTATATAGTGATACATAATAATTTATACAACAGTGAGACCAGGGTTCAAAAATATTACCCTAATTCATCTTGATAGCAAATTGCTACAATATATTATACTTACAGCCTCTTTAATTTCACAAGAGAAAACATGTATCTGAAATTCTTCTGAACCATGGGAACTCTCTGTAAATGCAAAGCAATTGCTCTCTGTTGTCCCATCATGTCCACGTGCACAGAATAACACCTTATAGATCGGAAAAGAAGCTAACTCCACATTGTTGGATTGGTCTATAATTCTACAGAAAAGTGATAAAAAATAAGACAAAATATTAACTATCAAAGAACAAAAGCAAACAGTTCTATTATACTAATGACATATATACATAATTATCTTAAAATCACAAAAACTGGTTATAATAATGTATTAAAATATTTTGCTATGTTTGTATATACACGTATATGTGTGTATATATGTATATATATACACCTTTATACACATACACACACACTCAAATTCTTTAACTTCTTTTAACAATTACTTAATTTTTGTATCTATGATGCAATTCATTTACTCCCAAAGCCAAGTATACATTACCTGGTAAGATCTATGTCACCCATCCCCAACTGCTAGCCTTGTTCTGCTATGGCATTCATTTCTATTTACAACAGCACCTATAAGTTTATCTAAGACCTAGGTCATTGTTCGACCAAGACGTCTCTTACCCAAAACAAAAAAGGTCAGAGTGGTTCTCCAAAGTTGAACAATAGAAGTTAAAATAGAAGTTAAAAGGAGTTTGTGGCATTTAGGAGTAAATAACTCTCTGACTTTCCCTATGTAAATCCTAAGCCCTAGATTGATCACCCAGGCACCCCTCACTCTAGTTCTTGAACCACGGTTATATGACAAGGGGAAGGCAGGTTTTTATGTTCCTTCCAAAGAAACACAAATTATAGGCATGTTTAAAGTTCTATTTCCATTTATAATATTCTAAGCATAATTTTGTAAAGGACTCTCATAAATAAGGAACACGGTCTAAGCCTAAACATGTATTTTTCATGTCTACAGAGTAAAAGTGAATTCACAGTAAGTCCTAGGCCTCATTTATGATATAACATCATCACCACCATGCAAAAAATTTCATACATGTCTAGGGGAAATAAAAAAAGACTAGAGCTTACCTCACAGAACCTTCTGGAACATTTGGCACATACAGAGTAACAGGAAAGGGGTGCTGACTGGAAGATTTCATAGTTGCCATTGCCCGTAGAGCCTCCACTTCATTACGTGGAGAAGAAACCTTCATACATCCTAAGTAGGTCAGTTTGTTAAATAAAACACTATCTTCTTCAGGTAATCCACTTGGAGAAGACAGTCTGGGTGTAGAAATTTCTAAAGAAAAACACATACACACCCACTCAAAAGTTAATGGAAAACATCACAGTATAATTTCACCTACTGCCCAAAAACAAATGAAAAACCGCAAACAAAATTTAGGTCTGTGTTTTCACTTCTTTTGATGTTTATGCTACATCTTAATTCGGAGTTCTGGAATTCTGTACTTTCAAAGCCTCTCAAAGTATTATCTTACTTAGCTATAACTTCTTTAGAGGAAAAGGGAAAAAAATTACAGAGTTCAAATGATGTAAAACAGGAGGGGCAGAGCAAGATGGCGGAGAAGTAGGAGACCTGGATTTCATCTGGTCTCGGGAATTCAGCTGGATAGGGATCAAACCATTCTGAACACCTACGAACCCAACAGGAGATGGAAGAAAAGAATAGCAACAACTCTCTGAACAGAAAAGCGACCACTTTCTGGAAGGTAGGATGAGTGGAGAAGTGAATCCGAGGCGATATTGGGGAGGATAGACAGCGGGGGAGGGGGCCTCCGTGGCCGCTTCTGGCAAGTGATAGAGCCCCAGAGCACAAAATCGGAACTTTCAGAAGTAGGCTCCACGGAGGGATGTCGCTTCAGTGGCTAAGCTGGGGGTGGAACCCTCGCGGGACAGTGTGGTCTCAGGACCCTCAGGATCACAGAAAGACTGGGGGTGCCAGAGTTCAGCAGAGCTCCCAGGTGTCGGAGTGGGGAAGACAGGGGCAGAGATGGAGCTGAGGAGCAAGCTCTCAGCTCGGGGTTGCCATAAACTGTGATCGGTGACAGTCGGGCCACTGCTCCTCCAGGAAGGACCCAACAAGCGGCAGATCCGGGGAGACTCCCCTCCCTCCCCCAGGGGGAGCGGCACGGGAGCACACCGCAAGGATCTGCTGGGTTTGGAGACTCCACACGGGGTCGGGTGCCAGAGATAGAAACGCTCGGTCACAGGCCCGGTGAGCACGGAGTGCGGCGGGAGACCGGGGAGACGGGAGTGAATGACTGCCTTTCTCTGGGGGCGCACTGAGGAGCGGGGGCCCCGAGTTCTCGGCTCCTCCGGGGCAGAGATTGGGAGGCCACCATTTTCACTCTCGCCCTCCAACGCTGTATGGAAAGCTTGCAGGGAACAAAAGCTCCCGAGAGAAAGCCCGAGCAGATTACTTAGACCAGACAGGCAAGGGCGGGGCAATTCCGGCTCCGGCAAAGACATTTGGGAACCAGGGCAACAGGCCCCTCCCCCAGAAGATCAG